TAGCTCACACTATTGCAGGCATTGTACAGCAAGAGAAGGGAATATATAAAATAATGGGGCAAATTCTTTTAAAATGTGCATGTCATGAAGTCTCCCTCCACCATGTAAAAAAAGAAATTGGGCACCAAGTGTGGATTAAGCACTAGAGAGCCAGGATAACTAAACATAGTGTAGTATTTATGTCTTGAATTGAAAAAAAACAACAACAACTGTAAATCACATTATTGGACTAAGGAAGAAAATGTAAATGTAGATATTTTAAATAGTGCAGTAGATAACAATATGCTACATTCTGGAGTGATCACCATACTATGGGCCAGAAGTGAATAATAGCCCTATTCTTATAATGAATATTGAGCAATCAGGAGTGAAAACAAAAATCCCATGTAGTCTCAAACGATTTAGAAGAGAAAATGGATGTGTGTGCGTGTGTGTGTGTGTGTGTGCATGTGTGTGTGTGTGTGTGTGATTTATAAATTCTATAATTCAATGTTTTCTTCTTGCCAATTTTCTTAGGTTAGAAATTTGGAAAAATGAAAGTGAAGAATAAAATTCCTAAAGAGTTTAAAGCAGACTGTTCTGCTCTGACTTGTATGACTACTCTGAGTTTATTCCAGAAGGAACATGAGGCCAGAGGTCAGTCCACCATGAACCTTAAGCTTCAAGGTCTTCTGTAGTTTCTTTAAAAATTCACAGGAGAAAGCTCAACAATGTATTCTCCCACATGGTTACACACTACTGTAAAATTGGTGAGGTAAAACATGCATTTGATTCAGATCACTGTCTCTGCTGGGTGGCAGTGGTGGTGCATGCTTTTAATCCCAGCACTTGAAAGGCAGAGGTAGGTGGATTTCTGAGTTCGAGGCCAGCCTGGTCTACAGAAAGAGTTCCAGGACAGCCAGGGCTACACAGAGAAACCCTGTCTTGAAAAACCAAAACCAAACAAACAATCAAAACTGTCTCTCTCCACTCATAAGTTTGTACTGGATGAGACCACTAAGTGAATTAACCTCAGGTTCAGGAAGCTGTCGCTCATGTTCTGTGGCACGTCCTGGGACAGGTAAGCGTGTGGCAACTGTCCTGGGACAGGTAAGCGTGTGGCAACTGTCCTGGTGTGACTTTCACAAGCACTCCGACCACAGTGCAGACATGACATGAGATTACAATGCTGGGCTGAAATATGACACAGCATGGGTTCAGGGCTCTGGGGCCAGAAAGATGTAGAGAGTGAAGAAATGAGAAAAGACAAAAACTAATTATCACTTTCTTCTCTCTACAGGAAACATTACAAAGTAATTCATATGAAGATATCATCAAAGACTTTACAACCCAAAAGACAAAAGAATTTAAAAAATAAAGATAAATGAAGTAGTAATCTCCTCAAGACCTAGCTACACCAATTTTAGGCATATACCCAAAGGATTTACAATCCTATCACAAGGACACTTGCACAACTGTGTTCATGGCAACTTTATTCATAATACCCAGAAGCTAGAAATAATCTTGATGCCCCTCAGCTGAAGAATGGATAAGGAAAATGTGGTACTTTTATACAATGGAGTACTAGTTAGCTGTAAAAAATAATGACCTCACGAAATTTGCAGACAAATGGATGGAACTGGAAAAAAGTCATTCTGAGTGAGGTAACCCAGACCCAGAAAGACAAACACAGTATGTACTCACTCATAGTTATAAAGTATAGGATATCCATCCTACAATCCACAACCCGAGAGAGGCTAGATGAGAAGGAGGCCCAAAGAGGGATGCATGGATTTCCCTTGGGAGAGGAAGTAGAAAAAGATCTAGGTAAACTGGGGGCGGAGATTGGGGGGCGGGAACTGCAGGGAGCAGGGGAGTCAGGACACAGGGGGAGAGTAACAGAAGAGACGTCGTGATAGGGAAAGCATTTGGGGTTTAGGGAGAAACCTGATGCCAGGGAAACCCCAAGAACCCACAAGGATGAGCCCAACTCCTAGCAGTGGTGGGGAGGGGCCTGAACTGGCCATCTCTGTAAGCAGATTGGTGGCTTCCCTAATTTCCATCAGAGAGACTCTCTCCAGTAAGTGATGGAAGCAGAGGCAGAGACCCACAGACAAGCATTGCGCTGCTCTCTGAGAGTTCAGAGGAAGAAAGAGGTAAGGAATTGTACCAGCCAGGGTGTTCATGATGGATGAACCCGCAAAGACAGCTGACCTGAGCTCGCGGTAGCTCATGGACTCTGGACCAACCAAGCCCTCTGCATGTGTGTGACAATCGTGTAACTCGGACTCTTAGTAAGGCAGTGAGAGCAGTAGCTGTTCCCCATGCTGTTCCCCATGCTGGATTACCTGGTCCCACCCCGGCCTAGGGCAGGAGCTCGGTGCTGCCTCAACTTGATGTGCCAGGCTTTGCACTAGCCCACAGGAGGCCTGTCTCTTTCTGAGTGGAAGCAGAGGGGAGTAGACGGGAAAGAGAGGACACGGCTGGGAGGAGAGGAGGGAGGGAAACTGGTTGGTACGTAAAATAAATTTTAAAAATGTTATTTAAATAATTTTTTTAAAAAAGGAGTGGTAAGCTATTAAGTAGAAGCATCTTTTAAACATTTGTAGCATTTGGCAGCTTTGCCATATTTGAAATTTGTTGTATTCTTTGTGCATTTATAAATAAACATTTGTTTTTTCTGTTTGTATGTGCCTGAATGTGTGGATGTAAAATTGTATAAATCTGTGCACTTCCAAATATCAACTTACCCTTTCAGAAAACCAAAAATGCCACCATGAAAAATTAAATGAGGGCCTCAAGAAACGGCTTGGCAGCTAAGAGCACTTGCTGTTCCTGCAGATGGCTCAGGTGCAGCTCCCAACACCCACACAAGGCAGCTCACAACCATCAGTAACTCCAATGTGAGGGGATCGAATGCCCTCTTCTGGCCTCGGAGAGAACTGCATGGGAACGGTAGACAAACCCAGGCAGGCACACATACACACATAAATAAAGAAAAAAAAAATCACCAAAACTTTTTAAAAAGGGATTAAACGACAAATAATTGATACCAAATAGGGATGAAAACAATGCAATGAGTTTGAGATTTACTTAGCATGAAATCAAACAAGGTACTTAGCTTACTGGATGTGGTTGGCGTGAGAGAAAAAGGAATCTAACAGTAGTCAGGGGATCACATAAATGGGGGTGCAGGCCAGGGAACAGGCTACAACCCAAGAAGCAGAGTAAAGACTCCATGTACATGTAAGTGTGTACAAAGACAGCCAGGGACACACCGTGAGTTCATGATCTATGCAGAGAGCAAGAAGAGAACTGAAGGGCTGACTTACCAACTCCTCCCTGTGTTGCTGCTGCACACAGGGAGGTGGGGAGGGGACCAGAGAAGAGGGCAGAGGGCAGGAGAGCCAGGAAACAGTGGCTGGAGTGCAGGGAAATGTTTGGATGATTGCAGAGAGAACTGTTACTAAATGAAACAAATTTGACACTGCAGGGTTCCCTCGGGAGAGAGAAAGCCCGGGAGGCTGGCTGGAGGACTGAAGCCCAAGGCAACCAAGAACTAAGGATAACTCTTTCAAGAATCATGAACAGGAAAAAAAAGTTAGGGAAGTCCTAAGAAAGTGAGGTCAAGGGTGGGTCAAGCTTGTTTTCTCTGTAAGTACTAGTGTGAAGGAAACATAAACCTGCCCTCTGCTTCAGCAGTCCACTCCAAGGAAAAACCCAAGTATCGAAAGGACAGTGGAGACATAGCTGATGGCATATTCATGCAACGGCATAACATACAGCGACTAAGGAGGAGGCAATGTATACACACTCTGACTCTGCAACTCTGGGCCGAGTTCAAGAACAGGTGCGACTATGTCAGAAGTCAGAAGAGCTCTCTACATGGAGGGTGTAATCACCTGGTGTAGCTGCCTCAGGAAGCCTTCTGCGCACTGCAAACATTCTAAACCCTTCTCCATGACATACGCATTAAGTAAGTAAGACATATTAAGCTGTACTCTCAGGTTAGCCAATCATCATGTTCCCTACGTGCTGGCTAGTTTGCTGTCAACTTGATACCAGCTAGAGATATTTTGGAAGAGGAAACCACAAATGAGAAAATGCCCTACCAGATTGGCCTGTGAGTAAGCCTTCATCACATCTCCTTGGATGAAGATTGATGTGGAAAGGCACAGTTGTTCCTTGTGGGTGGTGCTACCCCTGGGCTGGTGGTCTTGGTTCTTCTAAAAGAAAGCAAGCTGAGCAAGTCATGAAGAGTAAGCCAGTAAGCAGCTCTCCTTCCTGGCCTCCACTTCAGTTCCCGCCTCCAGGTCCCTGCCCTGCTTGAGTTACTGCAGGGAGTTCCCTCAGTAATGGCCTTTTAACTAGAAGCGTTAACCGTCCCCATGTTGCTTTTGGTCATGTTGTTTTATCACAGCAATGGAAACATAAGACAATTTTCTATGCCTTAATAATAATAATAAGTTCTTTAAAAAAGAATTAAAACTTAAAGACAGCCTTACTAAGGAAATAACACTGAGCAAACTTACAAACTACTACGAAATCAAAACAAGTCCCGAGTTGGCCCTGATATCTGATGATCACAACAGCAAAGGTGGGGGCAGCAGGAACCCAGGAACCTGCTAAGCATGTGGTAATAAGTAATCCCTTCCTGGGGCAGCGCTGTCAAGTGTTTCTACCTCAGTCTGCCTAACAACCCTGCTCACATGCCACATCTTTTCACGGATAATCTATCCTTGCCCATCAAATGGACCTTAAGAGAGATTAATATGGCTCAAAGTGTCAAAAGAACACAATTACTGATGTACAGTAGAGGAGCAACTTAAAGGAAGATTTACACCCAAAGCACACTGAGTATATTTGTGAGCCTCTCCTCTGACATCTGATTACTGTATAGAACAACAAGGTGACAACTGTTCATTTTGACTTTCAAAATAAAGCTGTATTAATCATTAATAAACTTAGTTTTGTAAACATGGTACCTGCATGCTCATTATAAAAAGAAATCACGCACTTACCATGTTGCCTGGTCCCAACAGCTGCAATGATCACTGGAACTGAGTTTGATGCTCTTTTAATCACTGGAATATAATTATCCTTTACTTCGTGGAATGAAAACTTGTCATTTACATTGTATTTTATCACAACGATGTCAGCACCTCCAATTAGGTTTCGGGAGGTGTACCAATCACTGTCAAAAATGTCCTAAACAAAAATGCAAACATTACCTTTTAGTTTGTTTATCTTCAAATCAATTCCCAAACTAATTACCAGATTAGTTATAAGATATTGTCTAAATGTTTCCTGTATGTTAGTCTTGAGAAGGCATGCTTGGTTCCCAGTTGGTGGAACTGTTCAGGAAGGATTGGGAGGTGTGGCCCTACTGAAAGAGATAACTGGGGGGAGAGGGAGGCAGGCTTTGAGGTTTCAAGAACCTAGGCCATTCTCAGTTAGCCTTCTCACTGCCTTGTACTTGTGAATCAGATGTAAGCTCTTAGCTACTGACCCAGACACATATCTGCCTTCCTCTGCCACATTCTCCACCTGGTGATCATAGACTCACCCTCTGGACCTGTGAGCCCCAATAAATGCTTTCTTTTATAAATTACCTTGGTTATGGTAATAGGAAAATAATAGCAGGAAAATAACTAAGACAAAAGGGTAACCACATAAAATTTACTATGTCTGAAGCCTGATAATTTATTTAAAACACTTTTTCTTCATTATCCTAAACAACTATACACTAGTAAGGCCCCATAGCTACAGCATTTGTCTGATGAAATGAGCAACCTCTGTCCACTCTCTACACCTAAAAAAGCACTCTACTTTGAAATTATGCTGATTTTAGTCACTTGCAATTCCAAAGCTATAACATTGTGCAGTCAAGGTCAGAAGCTTTTCTGTGACCCAGATAGACACTGCAGGGCTTCTGTGTGTTCTCACACTGTGAATCCTGTATTCCTTTTATCTTATACAGATTTGAAGAAATTAATATATAATCTTTAACGTTCTATTTGTATAGTGCCCATTTGAGCATGGAGAAAATATGACTATAAGACACATTGTACATTACAAGCTGTTAATTGTAAAGGACTGTGTTTGCATTTTATGTATTGAGCTCATATACTAAAGATTCAGGATAAAACTGTTCAGAAATTTTTACAATAAGACTATAGTTAATATTCATATTTAGAACTCGAATCACATGTACTTTATTATGGAACTTAGTTCTGTGATAATGACTGCAAAGTCTTGTGAAAATAGCATGTAATGAGAATGCCATTTGAATTTCACTGCCAAACACGCACAGAAGTTTTCTTCTTAAATTCTAGTTAATGATTAATCTTTTCTTTCATGTGGCCTTTTTCTAAGGCATAATCAAGTTAGGAAACTGTTGGGCTACAGAATCTTACACTTTGGTATGTGAGTCCAAGAGAATATTAAAAGGTTCAAATCAGCAGGCAAGCAAGATCCATGTGGCAGAGCTTTTAGGCCATGACAGACATGCCCTCGTGGAGAGACGAGCTCTTGTCCCATCTCTCAGCTCATTCAGAATGAGAGCTGCACTGCAGAACTTTAAAATAGTGATGTATTATCCAAACCAGAATGGGTACAGCATTTGAAAGGAGTTCAAAACAACAGAAACAGAAAGGAAAGCTGAACTGTCAGTGCCAAGGGCAAAGGACTGAGGTTATGCTACAGTGTTAGGGTGCAAGGTGAAGGGTCGGGGAGCCCAAATCACAAACGCCCATTGGTCCCAACTGTATCTATAAACACTCTGGTTCACAATAAGCACAGGCAGCACGGCGTGGAAGCTGAAGGATCACAGAACAATAAAAGAGTCCGGCACATGGGATTCAAAACCAGTCCAGAGAACAAGTTAGAAATCATTTTTTCACATTCCAAATAGTTCAGAATTCCAGAGTTACTGGAGAGGCAAAACATGGAGGGAGGGGGATTTGGGTATTATTAATTTACTCTGTGGTATTGAGGATAAAACAACTATAAACACTTCTATTTGTAATGCAATCCACAGCTGCAAGCCCTGTACAAGAAAATAAGAATACATCATCTCACAGTTTATTTTCTATTCATTTGTTCATTTGCGCTTTTTTGAGACAGGATCCCAGGGTGTCCCAAACTCACAACCCTCTCTCCTCTTCCCAATTGCTGGGATTAAAGGCATGAGCCAGGATGCCCAGCTAACCCTGCTTTGGAACATACTTCTAACAGACAGAAAAATAAAAATCTAGAAATATGAAATTAAATAGTAATATGACTGCAAAAGAGAAAGGTAGGCAAAACTGAGCTATGAACTTCATCTAATGAATTTGAATTATGTTTACTTAAAAAACTTCAAGTACACAGAGACAGCAAAGAGTCAGAGTAGGGGTAGCTACAGAAAGCAACCCTGGGAGGGAAACCCTTCCGGCTGCCTTCCAGCTCCACGGCAGCGGACACATTTCTTTTTAAGCTGCCACAGCTCTACCGGTTTCCAGAAATCCAGAGGAAATCCATTTGTCCCACCCCTTGTAAGTCAGTTCCAGGACTCCACTGGGACGTTATGCAACAGCAAACTTGGAGCTACACTGGAGAATCAAATTCATCTTTAAAAAAAAAACAAAAACAAAAACCCTACAAGGAAACAAGAACTTCATCCTATTTGACTAGCTGTGTGCACTGAAAGTCCTGAATTGATATAAACCTTGACTGACGTGAGCACCTCTCCCATGTTTAATATAAGTGACATATAACTACACTAAAGCTATAATGTGCACTTTATTACAGCAGCCAGCACTCTTGAGACTTTACCCTTCAGCATGGCACCAGGAGACAGGAAAACAAGTCTGAGAGAAGGTGCAAATGTACACACACACACTATACATATACATATACATTATATATATGCAAAGTAGGGTTCTGAAATCAGTTCCTTTTGTTGTTTGATATCTGATTCAGCACATATGTCAATGCCAGCTGACTGGTATAACCAATGTTCATGCTCCTGGCAGAATTTACTTATTATGTTCAAGAGGAAAAAGCAGCAGCTCAGAAAAACTCTACATATGTAACTCCCTACATCTGAAGACTCATCCTAGCATGGGAAATGGTACCTGGTGACAAACTTGGTATCACAGACTGTGAGCACACAAAACGAGAATCCCCTTAACACGCTATAACAGTCAGCAAGACTGCAAAGCTTATTTAATCCATTCTGGAGATTTTTGTCTTATCTATTTTATTTTTATAAAATGGGTGCTTCTTTGCTAAGTGAACAAACACAGGAAGTAAAGGGTTAACTTGAAACTAGGAGAAATAATTCCAATATCCCAAGTCATCTTATTTTATTTTCTCTGCATTTATTTCATCAATCCACTAAATATTCATTCAACAGTATGCTGAACAAGTAATACTTTCAGGCTAAAGCTCTTGCATAATAAAAGGCCCAAAGTAAACGGGCTTGCACAAACGTCAGCCCATAAGTCCTCGCTAGTGGCTCCTTCTGATACCATCATCGCTGTCATACCTGAAGGCTAAGTCCATTCTTTTAATTGAAAAGTCTACTTAAAATTTATTTTAGCACATTAATATCCATCTCCAGTCAAAGAGTGTCTTCTTTCTACAATAGGAAAACATGCTCAAGAAAATTTCCTCAGTACATTCTACATATTTCTGTTCCAAAGTATTCTACTTCCCCTTAGCTCTGATTCTTAAAAAAAAAAAAAAAAAAACTGCCCATTTAATGTAAGACTCTCACATAATTTATGCCCTCATAAGATCCAAAAGTTTCATATGTATTATCTTTAACTGAAACACATACAACTACAATATTAGCAAGGAATTACAGGTTTTAAAATAAGCCAAAACATTTGAAATATAGTGTCACTGTGTTGTGAAGATATCTGCAAGTCAAGGAGCTGACTCCTTTGTCCTTTCGTCAAACAGATTTCTTTCATTCAACTATCATAAACATGAAGAATTTTTAAAGTGCTAAGTAACATTAATGGTATTTCTAATTTATTAATCACTAAAAACAATGGCTAATGCATGGGTATTTGCATCATTAAAAATTAACACCCCCCCCCCAGGTTAGAAGTCTACAAATGAGCCATTTAAAATTAGTTCTCACACTCCGTCCTTTCTCCCTTTTTCCATATTATTTCTGACCTGTCCCGGAAAAGAGTATTTTTGCCAATGTTGGGCGGTAAAGGACGGTATTTATAGCACACATGTCCCTATCCTCCACAGGGTGGAACTTCGTGACCCCGTCCCTTGGGTCAACTCTCAGCTGTCTACGTGCAGCACAGTAACTGCTCTACATTCCCCTGGGACTTTCTACCTTGCAGACGTGTTTTGTGACAGGGCTGCTCCACTACCTCCAAACTGAAACAAAGGACGAGATTTGCCAAAACTGTTAACTAAAATAAAATAAAATAAAATAAAATAAAACATAACCTCTCGCTAGGCAGTCAGGAAAATAGGAGACGAGGGGAGGAAGGATCCAAACGACAGGCTCCTTTGGCCTGGGCACCGCGCAGCCGCTGCCCCTTACCCAGACGGGACAGTCGTGCACCACCAGCTTGACGTTCCCGAATGCACTGGCCTGGTACTCGGTGAACACCGGGCGCGCCACCGTGCTGGCCGCGTTCAGCAACAAGCTGCTCTCGTCCCCCGAAACCAGCGGGCTTCTCCCCAGGTAGGTGCGGATGAGCCCCGACGGCCGGTTATCCTGGTGGAACGTGTCGCCCTCGTTCCCCAGCGCCACGATGTGGATGGACCTGCGGGGCCGAGAGGGGCGCGGTGAGCGGGTGGGCGCAGCCAGGGCGCGTGGCACGTCCGGGAACCGGACGGTGGCAGCACGGCGACGCGTACGTACATGATCGCGGCTGGCAGGGCGGCCTGGCGGGGGCCGAAGCGACACTCTCACCGCAGGCAGCTCATCCCCGGC